CATCATTGATGGACTCAAGTGTGGCAGCGGTAGTGAGGTTGGCCCAGGATCGGACATTGTTTCATTCTGCTGTGCATGGGGTTGCTATGAGTCGGTTCCGACTCGATGGCACCTGACAACAACAACAACTATTACTTAGTTATGTTTTTATCACTTTCAAGTTTTCACTAGTGTTTTCATAAAAGTTTTATGTATTCACAAACTCAGAATGTTATCTTATTCCAGGTTACACATTGTAACCATTGTAAGAACAAATGATTGAAAACTGTCTCTAGGGGAATAGTACGTAAATACAAATTTATCCTACAATGGAATCTATTCAATCATGAAAAAAAAGTTTTAAAAAAAGTATAAAACAAGGTATAAACATAACCCCATTTGTATATAGAATACTATCCATTTATTTTAACCTATTATCAATAGTTGGAACCGACTCGATGGCACTTAACAACAACAACAACATTATCAATATACCTGGGTAGCATAAATGACACAGTGCTGGACTATTAACTGAAAATAGTATGGTGATATAAACCCACCCACCTCTGACCAGCCTGGTGATCTGCTTTTGAAAAGTCACAGCCTCAGAAATCCTCTGGAGCAGTTCTACTCTGCACACATGGGATTGCCATGAGTTGGAATCCACTTGATGGTAACTAACAACAATAAACCTAAATATAAGTACTTGCCTGTAATTAGCTATCAAGTCAGCTCTGACACACGGTTCCATAGACTATAACAAAGTTACAACTGTTGATCTAAGTCTTTAGCTGTGGATAAGGCAGAGGAAAATGTAGGAGTCTTTTCTTGCTTATGAAGGAGCCCTGGTGGCACAGTGGGTGAAGTGTTGGGCTGCTAACTTCAAGGTGGATAGTTCAAATCCACCAGCCACTCCCTGGGAGAAAGATGAGGCTGTGTGCTCTTGTAAAGACGTACAGTTTTGGAAACCCTAAGGAGTTCTATTGTGTACTACAGGGTCGCTATGAATTGGAATTGCCTCAGTGACAGAGGGTTTGGGTTTTGGCACGTGTATGTTCTGAGATGCATTGTTGTTGTTGTTGTTAAGTAACAACAAATTGGTTCTGACCCATAATAACAACGTATAGCGTTTCTGAAAAGCAGCTGGTGGGTCTAAAATACCAAACTTACAGTTAGCAGTCCAGTATTTATCCTAAAGATCCACACAGATTTGTACAATATTCTGAGATTCATCTATATCACCTCTTGTTTCAAAAGAGCTTTTATTCAGGTCCATTTGAAAGGATAACACACATGCCTAGATGCCGGGAGCCAGCCCCGGCAAATTTATTCCAAGGATTTTTTTCCAAAGGTGGGTGCGGCGTCAGCGGAAAGAATTACACGGAGTCAATAAGTCATGATGAATTCAAAATCTTCTTATTACATGCTTTATTCTTCTCTCATTCTTTACTCCCCTGCTCATCTCTTCTGCTTCTTTTCTCCCTTCCCCTGCTCCTGCTTTCATTCCCCTCCTGCTTTTTTAATACCCTTCCATTTCTTTACTCCCCCCTCTCCTGCTTTTCCTCCCTCTCTATTCTTCTTCTTACATGCTTTTTTATCCTTCCTCTTATTCCTTCTTCTTCTCCTTCACTCTCCTTCTCTATTCTCCTTCTACATTACTCTCTACACTCCTTCTTACACTCCTTCTACATTACTCTTTTACCTTCTTCTTACCTCCTCCTTTCTTCCTCTTACTCCCTCCTCTACATTACTCTTATTCTTTTTCCTTCTACACTACTACTCCTCTTCCTTCTACACTACTACTCCTCTATTCTCTTCATTACTTCTTTCACTCCCCTCACTTCTTCTCTCATACAACCTCCTTATATATCGTTACAAAAAACATTGCTTTCATAGTAATCAATGTCTTCAAAATACAATCTATTCTGAGGCCCATTCTTCATGGCTTACGACTCTTAGATTTACAACAATGAGAAGTTACAGACATCAAGGCATACTGAGACATCCTGGCGCCTTAAAACCTTTTAGTTAAAACATTTGTTCATACATAAATCTATTATTTTCTCTGAGAAGCAAGTTAACCTTCACATATGTTTCTTAACCTTTATCTATTGAGTCTTGTTAATTTTAGTTGTTAGGTGCAATTAACTCTCCATTAACTTCTTCCAT